TCAACTACTTAACAGAATATAGATAGGTTTTAAACTATAAAACAGAATGTAGGTAGGTTTTAAACTATAAAACAGAATATAAGTATGTTTTGAAATATGAAACAGAATGTAGGTAGGTTTTGAACTATAAAACAGAATGTAGGTAGGTTTTAAACTCTAAAACAGAATGTAGATAGGTTTTGAACTATAAAACAGAATGTAGGTAGGTTTTAAACTATAAAACAGAATGTAGGCCGGTTTTGAACTATAAAACAGAATATAGGTAGGTTCTGGACTGGTGAACAGAGTGTGGGTAGGTTTTAAACTATAAAACAGAATGTAGGTAGGTTTTGAACTATAAAACAGAATATAGGTATGTTCTGAACTGATGAACAGAGTGTGGGTAGGTTTTCAACTATAAAACAGAATGTAGGTAGGTTCTGGACTGGTGAACAGAGTGTAGGTAGGTTTTAAACTATAAAACAGAATATAGGTAAGTTTTAAACTATAAAACAGAATGTAGGTAGGTTTTGAACTTTAAACAGAATATAGGTAAATTTGGAACTATAAAACAGAATGTAGGTAGGTTTTGAACTATAAAACAGAGTGTAGGTAGGTTTTGAACTATAAAACAGAATATAGGTAGATTCTGGACTGGTGAACAGAGTGTGGGTAGGTTTTCAACTATAAAACAGAATGTAGGTAGGTTTTAAACTATAAAACAGAATGTAGGTAGGTTTTAAACTATAAAACAGAATGTAGGTAGGTTTTAAACTATAAAACAGAATGTAGATAGGTTTTAAACTATAAAACAGAATGTAGATAGGTTTTAAACTATAAAACAGAATGTAGATAGGTTTTAAACTAACAGAACGAGATACATCTTGAAATGGAAGCTTGTTTTCAATATCTTCTTTACTTTCTCTATAATTACAATCTTCAACTAATACCTGAATGGATTTACTTTAGGTATGATATTGTGAGCGAACTTATAAAGTGTGACGCAGACATAGTTTCCCTGGAGGTCGTTAAGCCAGCAAGCAGGTTTTGAGACGAATCAAACTAACTTCAGTATGGGTTTAATATACAAAATAAATAAGGGCATGGAAAGATTAAAAGGGGCCGAGGGGTAACTAGTCATTAGCAACCACGTGAAGTAATTAGGCCCTGGGTTCTTATTAAGGCGAGAAATGAGGATAATTTTACAAATTTCGTTTTTCGGTGTATCGATTTCAGTCTAATTTATAACCGCCTTTGTAAATCCTCTTTTGATGTGAGTACTTTGTAAAGAATGAAAATTAATATTGATGAAAGGTTGTTGATTGGAAAACAAGGTGCCTATTCTTTATGTACTGGGTATTAACGGTAATTGTTCTTTGTGATAAAGGGTCAGCGAAGTGATAATTTGATATTCTTAGTTCAATACCCCCTAATTTATATATGAATTTCCTTGTTATGTAGTAATAATGGGGTCTTTTTCCTGTGAGATTGTAGAGAATGATATCCATATTAATATGACAGGACTCAGTCAATAGTGATTGGAGATAGTGCTTCTGACCCGACTGTACTTATGTATAGCGTCCTCTACTATTCTCAGCTTATACATCACCTCTTGGACACATAATAAGAAACTGTAATCTTGGATATGATTTATACGATGATGACACCCAATTCTATTTATCTTTAAACCGACTGAATGAAAGGGGCCGCTAGGTAATCTTGAACAATGTGTGGAGCAGATAAGACTCTGGATGAAGAAAAATTTCTTAAAACTAAATGACGATAAGACAGAACTATTGAAAATGGGAACTAGAAAAAACTTGGCTAAAACATCAAGTGATTCAGTAAATAGAGGCGAATCAAACGTGTCATACTCACAATAAGTTCGGTATCTTGGTGTATTTTTTGATAACAATCTGTCGATGGACTCTCATATTAATTATATCTGTAAAACTAACTTTCATCTGTATAACATTGGTAAAATTAGGAACATGATCAATAATGAAACCGCTAAGTTGCTTGTGAATTCTCTTGTCACTTCCAGATTAGATTATTGTAATTCTCCTCTATTTAATATCTCTTAGGACCAAATTTACTAACTTAAAAAAATTCAGAACAAAGCAATCAGAATAGTATCAAGAACTAAGCTCCGCGAACATATTACTCCGGTCTTTAAGAATCTACACTGGCTCCCCATTAATAAAAGAATTGAATTTAAAATTTTAACAATGACATATTCAAGCTTAAATGTGGAAAATACTACTCAATATTTGAAAGACCTTGTTAAACCGTATCGTCCTGAACGCAATCTACGCTCTCGACAATCTAACCTTCTCGAGATAGTTGAGCCCGTCTCAGAAACCGGTAAATGTGCTTTCTCATATGCTGCGCCGTATCTATGGAAAAATTTACTTGCTGTAGAAATATTGCCACCTTACCATCTTTTAAAAAACTATGTATGTTATGTTGATTTGTTATATGCCATATTGTACAACAGCGCCATAGAACAGAACCTGCTGGATTATAGGCGCTATAGAAATAAATCATTATTATTATTATTATCATTATTATTATTATAAAGTCAAAGATTAACCAACGCCTTTCTTGATTTCGTGATTTCGATTTCAAAACAAAAATGTTAAGTACATCCATTTTATTATCTTCGTTTTCTATATACATAAATAATACATACATAGATATATAAAATATAAATTGACAACTGTAGTTTGAAGCCAGTTGGTCACTATACTGAATTGGAAACACAATTAGTAAACAAAAATGAAGAAGTATAAATAGTTTATGTGCCTTTATTGGATGAAAACAATCAAATAACAGAATCTTAGGTAAATCGGCATTTGTGGTCTTAAAATTGAAATAAACAATAATTTATCAGAATGCCGACGGTTTATTCTAATTTAATGAGCATGTCGCCACAGAAGATAAATATTTTAAACTCTGGGTGTGAAACTATTTTCACCAAGGTCATCAACAACAAATGTCGTATCTGAAAGTGTAAAAATGTATTGTGAGCCAATCTTTACTTTAACGCTAATTCAATCAATTTTTAACTGACTATTTTACTGTTTTATTGTGATTTGTTCAGTCTCCCATGACAAAATCTCTTCTTGATTGAACAAATTGGAGCACAAACTAATTCGACAAAGTTACCAAGGTGTCGAACCAATTAATAAACACGATTAAATTTTCTTTGAAGTCTAGCCGGTTTCACGGAAAGTTTTGAGGGTGACAAATAAGACAGACTCGAAAAATTGTAGTTTTCCAGAGTTTGCAAACTGTACATATATATATACAAGAATTCTTGTGTAAATGTATGTTAAAACATTCTTAGCTTAAATGAATTGTAAAGAGGTTTTCTAAATTTTAAATGAGTGATGGCATCAATTTGCATCATTCCAATTTTCAATCAGACGTCTGTGGTTCCTGCAATTCCACTAAAACTAATCACAAAATATGCTTTATCACATAGGGCCCTTCGTGATTAGTGACGTCATCAAACACTAATTTTTGGCGGAATTGCAGGAACCACAGTCGTCTGATCGAAAATTGGAATTGTGGAAATTTATGTTAATTTTTGTTCAGAATTAAGAAACTTTTTTTACAACCCCCTAAAGAGAATAAAGCGAAGAAATCATTTAACATCTTCATTCATTCTTGGTTTATTGCGAAAAATAAAACAAGAGGTCATATGAGAAAGCCTTGTTTCACCCTTTTATTCGATACAGCCCTTCAAGTTTCATATTACTTTTATGTGTCTATCGGAACATCTAATGCCATTGTACAGATTCGGAATCAGAATAAAAATAGATGACCAAGAATGATTGTATCGATATGTTTTGTTCATTTCGTTCATCTAAATGGAATGTTTTTATTTTCTATCCGAAATTTCATTTCTTAAGAAATATATGTTACTTGATCTCTTTTGAAAATACTTTCTTTAAACTTTCCAGAGAAATAGAAAAAACTCAATCGACAGAAAAACAATTTACAGAAATTCTGATGGTGTGAGGCTTGTCATAATAAGCATGGTTCCCACACGATGTTGTAATATTATACGAAATAAATTTTCAAGTTATTTTTGAAAGACAGATAATTTGGTCGACAACTTATCACTCCATCTGTTCAACAAATAACCACGGTACTTTCCCACGACATGTTCCTTATATCGTCTTGTTATTGGTTACAATTGCCTTTTGTTTTTTCAAAATGTTTTCAACCAGATGAATTCATTAGTTAATAAAATCTCCAGGCTATTTTGATAGGAATTATAAAGAGGCCAGGATTTGTTGGTCATTAAAGTGTAAATCGCCATATCTATGTTTTTCAAAATAAATCTCGTATGACTCTGTCACTCAGGATATTTCAATACCATAGTATGTTTCTATTATATAACTTTGTCAATATCATTTAAACAGCACACTATTTTTATTAATCATTAGACAGAATTGAAATTTAAGCTTGACATCGTTACTGAGGGCATGTGAATAAGAAAATGATACAGAAACACAGTTTTGTTATATCAAATGTTGGCATGGGAAAATCAGCGTGATAGATTTGGTTAAATGGGCAATAATTCATAATTTTACAACGTAACAAAAGTTCCACCAACTCATAAATAAAAAAGCATGAATACATTATGAATAGATATCAAGAGATCATCGGCATGTTTTTGTAAAAGCCCCTTTCTAGCAGAAATATCCGAGAACTCAGGTAAAGCTATATTTGTTTTTCTTATTTAATGTATACCTGACTTTTCAATTGAAAATTATAAAACATAAAACGTGAAAATATTTCTATTTTCATATCTCTATTCTCATTCTATCACAGAAAATAAATTTGAATTTTTGAATATATTTAAGTTTTATGACTTTTGATAATTCAACACAAAAAGAACAGTTCACATTGAAAATGTTTAATTGCTTTGTAGTGGCTACCATAAGTAAGTGAGCCGTGAAAATTGAAGATTTTTAGCGAAATTTTCCCACACTGCTTGTCGCTGGTCGTGGCCACGTGTTTATATTTACTATTCGTCTGTATAATGAATTCCTATACACTCTCGAGAACATCTGCCCGGTAGCCAATGAAAAACCACTTGGCGCATGCCGATACAAACTCCCGCGACAACACTCGATTTTCATTGGTCGACGAGCGTGGGAATGTGATTTCGGATGCCTTCACACATTAAACTAATGGCGTGTGCTTTAGGAGATAAAAACCAACAAAACATCATAGATATGTCAGAAAAGTTTCAAACTTTGAAGGGATAAGAAGGAAATTCAAATTTAATAACGGATATATAGTACAAGATGTCTGAACGAGTAGCTACTACTCCCCGGCCAGCACCTTATAGCAGAAGGGTAAGTTTTTATTAATTTTTCAACTTCTAAAAGTAACTTTTCGCATTTATAGACATTTGTAGCAAAAGTATTATCCATATTTCAAACTAGGAATTGTAAAATCGTAGATGAATTTCTTTATATTGTCAGTTAATGACAATGACTTACTAAAATTCATTTCACTTTTTCCATTTTTATAGAACTTGTTGTGCACAGTAAATTTCGAGATTTCCCAATGACAAGTCATGTATAACATGCCAGCTGCAATATTTTTAAGTTTGAACTACGTAATAACCTTTTGAAAATCTGTTGTGAGTTGCTGTTTATTTGTTCCATTTTTTCTTACAGACAAATAAACCGTTAGTTGAAAAACGAAGACGAGCACGAATCAATGACTGTTTAGGAGAATTGAAAACTTTGGTTTTACAAGCTATGAAACAAGATGTAAGTATAGTTTTTGATGAATTTTGATTTAAAGTTGTATATACATGTACGTGCCTATATGATTTGTTTGAAAAAACAAAAACTGCAAACTGAGAAACAAATTTAATCATTTAAATTTGCATCTGCATTAAACTCAAATCTTATGATATCTTTCTTATTATTTTGCAGAGTGCTCAGATATCACGTTTAGAGAAAGCCGATATACTAGAAATGACAGTGAAATATCTTCACCATGTTCAGAGACAACAATCAAACACAGCCATGGTCAACAATCCACAGAGTGCAGCCAAATACAGAGCAGGATTTACGGAGTGTGCTAGTGAAGTAATGAGATATATGACAAACATTCAGGGAATTAACCCAAATATCAGTAACAAATTAACTGGTCATTTGGCTGGTTGTTTGTCAATGGTGAATTCTGCTACAGCTCCTCAAATGGCAATCCATACCGCCCAAACACCGTCACCAATCAAACAGGAAGTGTATCAGCGACCTCTACAAATCCAAATTCCTGACAATAAATTAAAAGTATCTCCATCTGGCACCAATGTGCTATTAGTTCCAGCAAGAGTCGGTGAACATCCACAAAACGTTATGGACACTAAAATTGTGACTCCGATTCGCCCAGTGCCTACCAATTACACGCCTACCGGATTAAAAAACATTACGAACACCTACAGCTCACCAACAAGTCACTCCATGGACATAAAATCCTGTTCTAATTACTACTCTCCCAAATCTAGTACATCACCCTGTTCAAAAGACAGTTACAGTTTGGTACCAAAACAGTTGTATGATTCAATTAGTCCCGTTCATTCACCACCTTCATGTGCCTTCCAGGAAGAGAAATTGTGGCGTCCATGGTAATTATATTAACACGACTGCTGTATTAAATAAACTAATATATCGAACGCACTAGTGTTTGAATTGAGAACTGATGGTGCCGCCTGCTGAAGAATACTATAGACTACATGTAATTATAAAACTTTTATTGCCTATAACGGCTAAGATTGTGATATATTGTTGAAACATCTCAAGTGCTTTAGTTTACACATTTTATTTGTTGTTTTATTAAAATCATAAAATCTGTTCAATTAGCTTTCCATGAAAATATAACTCTATGGGTGTTATTGGGATATATCAAGTTGAAATGTTCCCCAACTTTGATAGCAATATCCCAGTCAAAACATTTCCGCAGGTATAAAGTGTTCAGTAGTTAACCGTATTGGATGCTACTAGAATTTGAGTTTTTGCTGACTTGAAATTTGAAATCTAGAAATCTTGCTACTGAAATATGCTTGTAGCGTTTCTGAACGAGTTTCTAGTCTCCATCGGTTCAATGTTGATGCTTTCAGCAAGAATGATCTGTATCTAACTAATAACTTATAACAGTGAACAATGCTTGCTCTAATTTACATTAAGTATGAAGACGGAAAATTCCAATTTAGCCTCTAAGCAGCCGTTACAACAAATCATTGAATATTATGTCTTGTCGGAGCTGTTGCTAGCTTTATCAACAGTGGACAAAACTATAGACCAACTGCAAGAATTTGGGAAATAAAGCATTAAGATGACTTAAGAGGAGTGGCAATAGAGAAAAGTAATGATTTTTTTTTACTGTTGAGGATAGGTTCGTCGCAATGAAATTCTGCGACCACTTTACTCAAATTTCAACCACTTGGGCATGCATTGAACAAGAACAGTGAAAAAAGAAAAGCCAACATGAAGCAACATGATGAACTTTTCTGTCAACATATTCCTATGGGTTATCTCACTATTATTTGCACTTTATGAAAATATTGAATTCAAAGCATTGCAATTTTCAATCACATGCACAAATGACAAGCAAAATATTTGATTGTTATGCTTTTTGGATACGTATTTTAATGTAAAGAGTCAGATTTAAATATAGAATGAATTAACCTTTTTTAAGTTTTTTTCTATATTGAATTATGAGTAATGATTTGACAAAAGCCCTGAAGAAAGTTTCTCAGGGAAAAAATCTGCTTGCCATATGGTGTATAGGGTATTTGATGATATATTTAGTAAATAAGTAGACATAAAGAACATTATTATTTAACATAAACCAAAACCCCAGAAATACAGAAGAGGGAGGAGTTTTCCCACAACGTCACGTCGGCATAGATTATCACTTTGGCACGCGTTTCTATTAATCTTTACCACTTGAATTTTGTGATTGACACCGGGGCCACTCAAGTGTTACGACATTTGACCCCTCTTTACTTTTAGCCAATGACATTGCCTAGATTTGAACTTATTCAAGCTAGCACACGCGATTTGCTTTGCGAAGGGATTTAGAGCCCGTGGGAAAACGAAGAACAAAATACAATATAAACGCTAATAGTATTATAAGTATTGCACTCGACAATCGTGTCAATTTTCATCTAAAGCAATGTTTTCACTATAGGTCATAATCAAATATGAGTCATATCGCCATCTAACAAAGTCCAACTTGAAGTATACTTTCATCAAAGGCTATTTAAATTTGAAAGTAGGCCTACGGGGGACTGGTTATCTTTTGTCTTTCAAGAGAAATGACCCTTACCATATTTCTTAAGGGGTGCGATGAATTTTTACGTAAAAATATAACAAGCGTTACCTTTCAAAATAGTGAAGAATTTTAATGAAAACAGGAAAACAATTCAGCAGACGATATGAAACATTCCTCTACAGTGCCACATGATCGACGATTAATTACAAAATTATAGGAATTTGGCATGGCGCGTGTAAACGATTATCGTTTCCATCATTATAGACTGACACGTGACATGACATGAAATACGCCATTACAAGATGTCAAATACGTCATTAAATCTTATGTAGCGTGTCGGGCAATTTAATATAATGATCTAAAATCAAATTTGTATATAATTCGCTATCTCTTACAATCCCTTTATAGTAGTGTCAGTATAGGGACGCAGGCGAAATTAATATTAAGGCGTTGCAGGTAAAGTAAACTGTTTTATGTTCGGGGATGAATACTTTAGTTATAACAAATCACACAACAGACCATAGATCTTTTCATATTAAATGTTCAATTCCAATTGTTCAATAATATATACAATTTCACGAACGGAATAAATATATAAATTTGAAAAATATCAAATAATAGTCCCGACCGTATGGTATTTATTACCGGTCATCAAATTGCGAACTTCACAAAAGAATGACATCTAGCGTTATTTATATCCAAGCTTTCTTCAACCAAAACACATGTTCAGTCCTTTCTTTATCATTTTTGAATCATTCAAAGCGGGTCAGAGGTTGCTATCTATGTTAACAGTATTGTTAAGTTATATTTCAGTTGACAATAGAATGGCACACGTCGGTAATTCATAAAGTTAGTGACAAGCTCAGATTAATGTTTTGACACTTAGCGTCCAGCGTTCACATTCTGACACATCTAGTCAATTTCTATTATAAGTGGCGTTCATTATCAGCATTCTGATACTGTACAGATTTATCAGCAGATTGTTCATAAATTTACCTCATTTAATCCTTTCCTTATAAAGACGAGTTCCTGTTAGCGAATGGGTGACAGACTAGATTATATTAATACTATAATCAAAATGCATTTTTGAACAGGTGAAGTATTGATGAATCACTTGAGCAATTATGTCGCTGATGATATGGTCTATCATATTTTTTATAATTGTTGAATAAACCTATATTGATGAGCCCGTACGATTATGTACGACATAATTGCAATAATATATAACCGGAATAACTGAATTGATAAGGCTTACCAACTTGAATCATTATTTTGATTGAGTTTTTGTCGTCGATACCTTAACATATAGAAGGTGTTTTTCAATGTTCTGAAGTTTGTTTATTGATTTTTTTTCTTTTTTTTCGTTTGAAAATGAACAACCCTATCTTGAATATCTTTATTTGCGACATTATTGTCGGCGGAAATAATTCGAAGTTAAAATTTCGACACACTAAAATCTTGTCCATGATGGCACAACCACCTTCAAGGAAGGGAACATACATTATCTACCCTGTTAAACGAATGAATGGTATTGCAATCCTCGACAGTTTCTTCCAGTCATGATCATCATCCTCAGGCACTTATGCATGAATCAGTACTTGTATGCCCCCAAACCTACATGGCTGCCATTTTGTGAATCGCTTGACTTCATGTTGGCATCACATGACCACACATGTTGAAAGATTGTTTGTGAAATATTCTAAACCTAGTTATCTTCTATATATACTTGTCGTCAAATATACGACATAAACAAATATCATTTATATATTTATCAAACACCATCTTTTTTACTTTTTTGTCCGAACATGTATGAATCAATGCTATTTTTGAAAAATATTCTGGGGTAGAACTCCACGGAGGCCTGTGCCTATGACACTTCTACAGTGCCTCTTCATTTTGAATCTCAATCTCAGTCTAAAACTGTTACTTTCAAGGCAGCATGTGTGGAGATACAATGCTGTTTAGATAAAGGTGGATAACTCTTAAAAAGCTTATAATATTTAAAGCTACAAATGAAACATAATCACACTCACAAGGAACGAAATGTGGTTAGGCTACTTGGCATAAAGTAAAAACAAAAACCCAATTGACAAGTCTTTCTAAAGGTGTCTACATATATTTTGTTTGGAATATAAAAATGTATCCTGAAAACATGTGCATGGGTGTGCAGGTTATATATTGGGTGGCCAGTTTGCACGACGTGATGAATTCTTATTATTCGTTCGATTACCGGCCACATTGAATCTGAATCGTATACATGTTCTAATGTGTATCATTTCTGTCTCTTCTTTCCTTCACCTATCACAGAACAATAGAATTATGTTCATAATGGTATGTATGTTCATTTTTATGGCACCACTTAATGGCTACAGACCAGTAACAAGTAACTGTTCTAAAATTCTACCTCTTTAGTAGAAAAATAAAAAAAAAACCAGAAGGGTACCACTAGAAGCCTTCGTACCTTTTTTAGATATCATCATTCTACAAAATCCAATAAGAAGTATTAAGCTGCGTGTACACTGGCAACATTTCAGAAAACAACAGGACACAAAACCAATGCATACAATTGGATTCAACCAAACACAAAAATTTGGGCCTTGTATACACGAGGAAGCAAGTTTAGATACAAATTAAGATAGATGTGTCCAGAAAATGAGAGGGAAAGCCTATTTTCTAAAGAATAATTGCCCAAAATGACTTCATGGTCAACTTGGATACCCGTAATATGGTCTTTAATGCCCACGTAACACACCGCTCGCGGTTCACTGTGTTTGTGAGTAGGTTCTTTTCCTATCGTCCAATGGCTTGATGCGGGCACCGATCACGGTTTTTCATTCTATGAAGTAATTCATATATTGACCCTTTTCAAATGGATGGTGCCACAAAAATGCTAATTTATTCCGACAAATTTTCTGACACATACTGTATAATTATACTGGTACAATCTTTGGGAAGCACAAAGTTTAAGGTAGTGCTATTGTATCAATAGATAACTACATTTATTTATTAAAGTCCAAGTCACATGCAAAGTCAGACCAGGAACTTTTCAGGAAATTTTGTGAAATGCCATTTAATGCATTACAACATCAGCTCAAGTTGAGGTGAAGACATGGAGAGTGAACTGCTTATCTCCCAAAATTGTTCGGGTAGAATGTAATGTTCCATAGAAGATATTACGTATTCTAATTTCTGTTCTGAATCATTTTTGCATCCATCATGTACAATAAATATGTATTGCACCTACAAAATTACATGATCCAGTAAAAAAAAAGGCAGTCTGTTCTACTTACAGAGTTAAGTAAAAAAGAGTATGACAAATGTGTCGGTTTGTGTCGAGAAAATTTTTACACTGTATCAATATTTTGGGAAACATTTGGAAACATCGTGTATCCACTTGTTGTTTCCTGAAATGTTGCCAGTGTACACAGAGCATTATTCAATTTCGCCAAAAATATTTGTTGACGACGGATTAGGGACTACAGCATTATGGTGTAGGCCTACATACACATTTATAAGAAGCGTTTCACGACGTGCATGTTGATTGACGTGAAAGAGAATGCCTTACCAGTGTGGAGTCAGTTTAAAGGACAGATAAGCCATTTTTTGAACCAATCATACTTTAGTCTCAGAAACGGGATTTTTTTCACCCTCGAAATTTGAGTCTTGTGTCCACGTGTGTCCAGAATTATCCGCTTTTGAAATTAAAAATACGAGTCGTCTTTTCTGAGACATTGCCACTTAGAGAAAGACATGTATAGAGATAGGAAAAAAATTCCAAGTTTGAAATATTTTTGAAGGAATTATGCGATTTTCGTACATTTCTAGGACTTCTAAAGACTGTTTATATATATTCAACACTGAAATCAACCCCGCAAGATGGTGCATTTGTCCCTCTAAGAACATCTTTCAAAGCATTAAGACACATGTAATTACGGCTCTATAGACAGTTGAAGAAGGTGCATTTGAACCTGAAAGAATAACTGTGTTTCCACTGATGGAAAAAGTCGGCTTTAAGCTTTGTGTTTCCATTGGGCAAAATGTCGAACCGTTACGGTTCGGGAACCGAAAACCTCTCTTTTTACGCCCGGCAATTTATCGGGGGCCAAATGAAAGCTAGCTTAATGTTTTCACTTTACACAGTGGAAACGCAAAAAGGCCAGCTTTATCTCGTTCGGCAAAAGTGGGCGTACTGGTCTTTCCGGTCTAAAGGGTATTCTTGTACAGTACATCAAGAGTTGTCAATATTGTGCGACCTTATCTTCGAGGCTAAAACCGTTCGGGAACCATTTAAATTCAGTGTAAACGCAACGCGTTAGGCCATAAATCTGCCTCTAAGCTAGCTTAGAACAAGCTTTACTTTATTATTCTCGGTGGAAACGCGGTTAATGCCATCGTGTTACTGCTTTCATACCCCGACGCTGCTTCCACACCTTCGATAAGCAATCGTCTTCTCGAAAATAGACCCATCTAAAGATGTGCATTATGATACAAAAGTTTATTACGGTATTTTTACATCATACTGATCATCAATAGACACCATCATAGTTGATCTTGTTAAAAAAAAGTGTTCACAAACAAATTTCTATTAAAAGCACTGCGGTACTATAATATGTTAAAGCTAGGTTAGATTTTTGTTCGTAGAGTTATCAGACGTAGTTTCACCAGATACAGCATCATCAGTGTCGTCCGGTTTGAGATATAATTCGGCATTTTCTTTAATACATTTACTAAACCCCTGCCATGGCTCAAAACAGTCCACACCCTCCTCTTTACTGTTGTTTAAACAAGTTTGGAATTCACGAAAGTCAAGACCACATGGACCAGTTGGTAAACTTCCCAAACAAGAACAGCCCCAGTTTAAATCACCATTCTTTTGGACAAATCCTTCTGCAAAAGATATACAGACATCTTGTGAAACGATATTATTGTAGTTGTTTATGCCAGAATAAGGGTAACACGTCAATAGTTAACTCTATTTTAAAAGTGTAGAATCCTATAAAGGGCCGGTCGCAGTGGATATGGAAGTGGAAGTGGAAGTGGTACCAAATGGATGATCGCATACTGCATGTAAGATGATTTACCTGGTTCTCTTTCTTTGGAATCTAACCCTTGAATCAGAACATCAATATATCGCAAAACATCTTTACTGGGTTCATGTAATTCTTCTTCTGTGGTAAACACAATCTTATCTTTACCTACAACACAGTCGTTTAACTTTAAAAACGGGCAGTTGTGCCATTTTGGGGAGTTGATTTGGGTCTTGAACATATGTAAATAGAGTTCAGAAGTACTAGAAAATCGCATAATTTTTCAAAAAATATCCCAAACTAGGTATTTCTTTTCTTATTTCTATAAATGGCAGTGTCTCAAGAAAATACTGTCTGTCTGAAAATATGTCTCATTAATAAGGAAATGCCACACATGTATACTTTTTTTTATATACAGTAATTTAAAGATTCTACAACAGGACTATGATAAGAAAAGGACGAAAAGAATTGTGCCTTCTAGAGTGTTTACGAGCTAAAAATTGAAAGCGTTTTCAAGAACAAGAGCAATAACTCATACTAAATATTTTTCGATATTTCTGATTTTCAATAGGGTTTATCCTTGGTTGATAGCAAACACTCATGTCAAGTTTCGTCAAAATCCACCAAGAATTGTGCCTTCTAGAGTGTTTACGAGCTAAAACTCTAACGCGTTTTCAAGAACAAGGGCAATAACTGATACTAAATATTTTTCGATTATTCTGATTTTCAATAGGGTGATTACGAACACTCATACCAAGTTTTGTCAAAATCCGTCAAGAATTGTGTCTTGTAGAGTGTTTACGAGCAATTGTGGACGGACGGACGGACGGACCGACCGACGGACGGGTATGGGTAACGGCAATATACGCCCCCCATTTCATGTGGGCGTATAAAAATCAGAAGAATCGAAAAATATTTAGTATCAGTTATTGCCCTTGTTCTTGAAAACGCGTTCAATTTTTAGATTGACAATTCTTGACAGAAGGGACAATTCTTGACAGATTTTGACGAAACTTGGCATGAGTGTTTGTTATAACCCAAGGTAATATACGCCCACTAGCAGCTTTGATTTTGAATATAAATATTTAGCAGTACAGTAACAATCACCAGTATAAAATATTCAAACTTCGGTCATACACTTCTTTTGAACTCTTTAGGGCGATACTGTCCCTTCTAGAGTGTTTGCGAGCTACAAATTGAACGAGTTTTCAAGAACAAGGGCAATAACTCATACTAAATATTTTTCGATTTTTCTGATTTTCAATAGGCTTTATCCTTGGGTGATAACAAACACTCAAGCCAAGTTTCGTTAAAATCCGTCAAGAATTGAGCCATCTAGAGTGTTTACGAGCTACAAATTGAACGAGTTTTCAAGAACATGGGCAATAACTCATACTAATTATTTTTCGATCTTTCTGATTTTAAATAGGGTTTATCCTTGGGTAATAACAAACACTCACACCAAGTTTCATCAAAATCCGTCATGAATTGCACCTTCTAGAGTGTTTACGAGCGTTTCAAGGGCAATAACTCATACTAAATATTTTTCGATTTTTCTGATTTTCAGTAGGGTTCATCCTTGGGTGATTACAAACAACTATACCTAGTTTCGTCGAAATCAGTGAAGAATTGTGCCTTCTAGAGTGTTTACGAGCAATTGTGGACGGACACCCATTTCATGTGGGCGTATAAAAATCAGACAATTTCGGACAAGTGAATTACTTAAAATAACAACAGCACGTGCCATATACGTCATTCAACAATAGTTTACCTTCCTCTCCAGTTCTACAAAAGGACATGTCCAAAATGTGATCTTTGCTAATAAAGACTTCTGTGCAGAGTAGGCCTACTAATGCAAATTATATACACAATTAAATTAAAGCAAATGATTTTGAGCCCAATAGAGATTCAGACCACACTTTCACCTTATTGAGCATGCGCATTGTCACTTTATACGGATTGGATTTGTATTATAAATTCATCTTGCTGAATTGACATAATTATTTAGTATACTGTGGTGTAACCTAATTTCGTGGATATACGGATTCAACACCGAATTTCGTCAAAGTTAAAAAAACGATTTTTTTTTTTTGTCTTAGATGTTTCCTCAGATATTCTACAAAATAATTAAAATTGGTTTATTTCGATTTTCTTTATGAATCCTTCACTTTGACCCATATTTCATGAGCAACGAACTCGGCAACGGCGGCAGAATGCGTCACCTATTTTCGTGTACAATGTTTGATCTATAAATAAGCCTAAAAAAAACACGTTGTATGGATACCGGGTGGTATAATTAACTTCTCTTAGTATTTATCTTTAATATCAATTCATTATAACTAGTGACAATTCCTTCGAAGAACCACGATTAAAAAAAAAAATAGTGACTGAGAAAATAAGATACGTAGCGTGATTTATTGCTAAAAGTAACTGAAACAACATAAGAATATGGTCCACTTGTGTTCCATAGAAATTTTCTGCTGACACGGAAACCACTAGTTGCTCACGTGACTTCATTCGTTGGATTACACTTGGAATTACGATTACTGCTTGGGATTATAATGAAATTCGGCCGATAAAAAATTGTGACGTTTGGTAATAAGTGAAATCCGCCATTTTGTATTTGTCAACATTATACATTAATAATTTTACCTTGCTTGAAACTACTGAATTCATTCTACTACCTGATATTGTACAGAAAACCCATGTTCATCAAAACAAGCAAATGCGGAGGTCACGCGAGGTCGCACATGTAAATTATTAATCATTTCCGGAAACCCACGAAAAATAGATTACCGCAAAATTAGGTTACTTGACTGTTTTTATCATTTCCGTAAATGCACGAAATTAAGTCACCTGACTTTACTTTTGAATTTATGAAGACTGATTTGAGAGTCTTAAGGGTTTTTCGAGTAGTTATAAACATAGTTTTCTGTAATTTAAGATATGTGAAAAATATCTCGAATAGGCTAAGGCCTATGTCGAAAAATGTTTTCATATTGTACATTATGGTAATGTCAGCTGTAAATTCGGCACATTATGCATTATGGTTAGAGCTGACCTACGTTGCCTGTCAGTAGATTACATTATGGTATTGTCAGCCGGTCTATTTTGTGTTGCTGTAAATGCGTCGCATTATGCCTATTTGTTATAGCTGACTGTGAGCTTGGAATATTATTTCGATGTCAGCTGTTCTATTTTGTGTCGGTGTAAGTTGGGTAGATTATGGTAATGTTATAGGCCTAACTGGCCTGTACATTATGATAATTGTCCCTTGATCTATTTGATGTTGGCTATCAAATGGGTATATTCTGATGATCTCTACTTTATGTTGGTTATCAAATGGGTAATTATGGCAAATATAAGCTGGTCAACTTTATGTTGACTAAGGCCTGTCGTTAGGAATTTTGGGTTGTAACAGTGCAGTTAGGGTTAGCAAGTGAGAACTAAGCCCTAGAAAAACCAAAATGATAGCACACAAAATCTGAGTGAGCTGAGCCCCAGCACACACTCCTGGCGAGGGGGCAGAGTTGGCTGGCAGTTGGGTAAATTATAGTAATGTCGGCTGATAAACTTTGTGTTGTCAGTTGGGTACATTATTATGTTAAATATCAATTTTTTCCAATCAACCTAACTTTTGCTGTTTACATATGACTAGGGTTTCTTCTCAGTGCATAGAACATGCAGGTTGGTTAAATGTCACTTTATTTTGCATAAATTATAAGAAACTAGCAGGGCTAAAAAAAATTTAATCCAAATGTTACAGATTTTAATTCTGAATGTGGGCTAATTTAATCTTCAAATTTCACAGCTTTCATGCTGAAAAATGCATCTCATAAAGAAATACAATTGGTTCTGTCACTGTGACAGAGGATTTCTGGACACCAGATAGCCTTTACATTAGGACCCTTTAACTCTCACTGGCATAGAATTTAGGACCCCCCTTGGTAATAGTGGATATCATTGAGAAATAACCACAACTTATTCAAAGAGTCCCGTATCTAATAGTTTTAGTGAAGTTATAACACGTTTAATATCCATCACTGTCCACCTATCGGCCGATGTAGGAATAGCATTATGACTGCTACTCTCTGGACTGGAAAATAAAAGGTAATAAGTAAATATCATGCAGTTTATAGGGTAAAAATATATTTTTATCTTTAAGGATACACCCTTATGACCTGATCATTAGCTTATTTTGAATGTCCCCGATTGTTTTTCACAATTGTTAAAACACAATAAGGAAATATGTACACTAACCTTATAATAACTGGGTCATTTGATGTTATCAGAATATCTGTTGAAAATTGAGGTAATCTAAACAGCCCAAGATGAAGATTCATCAGATTTTTGGCTGTTTCATTAAATTTTGCTACTTTTTGTTGGCCCAATACATAATATGCTTTAGTACATCTGGAAAAAACACCACTTATATAACATTTAAAATCTTAAATAAGACAGAAATAAGGGTTCATACAATTTCAGCACCATTCTGCTGTCATCTTAAGAAAATTCTAGAATCTATCACTTTTTTCCCCATTGTCTGACAATATGAAACTTTCCTCTACAGTTCCATGATTGACAATCATTACTTAAAATATTATAGGAATCTAAACAGCAGACCCGCATCACTAGAATAATTAAATTTCAATTTTTATCGTTGCCATTGAAAGGATTGGAAACATTTTTCACTTTTCATACAATAATATTATATGGCAACTTACTCTGTCAGTAAAAGTTCATCTTTACTGATCTCCTCTATACTAATAATTTTAGTGACATCATTATCACTGGCTTTGTTATATTCAGCTACTTCTTGAAAATGTGATCTGAAAGTTACAGAATAAGATACCATTTCCTTTATAGATTGGTAACTTTGTTTTCATTTATACATATATATATTCAATTATTAATTAGCAGATATATATAACTTGTATGAATAGAAAGTACAGTTCATTAGGAAAAATACCAGTTTGTCTCAAAATTTCATAATTAACTCGTAATCACCTAATTTCCCAGAACTGATCAGATAAACAGTTGTTTTTTTTTGGTATTTAAATTACAATCTCTAGCAACAGGAAAGAATATATTTACTTTCATTTTGCAAAAAAAAAATAATGCATTTTATCTTATATCTCCTCCCTAATATGATTAATTCAAAATATTATTATATAGTATATGATAATCATCTATAATATTTTGATTTAAAAATTGAAAATTAACATCACATTTGTTATAAACTTTGCTTTAACCCTGGTACTATTGAATAGTAAATTGTCGCTCGATAGTAACTTTTTACTTTCAATCACCCTAATAACTATCAAAATACTTGTTAACTTACTGTATAGCTTGATGATCAGGTTCTTCAATATACTCTAATATATCAAAGATTATACTCTGATCGGTTACATTATGGGTAAACACTTCTTGATTATCAGGAACATCTCGAATTTGACTGAAATAGAGAATATTATTCTGTATTTGTTGAATGGTTTTTTAATTTATCCCCATTAATTTGATACTGAATTGCATTCCCGATTGAAGCTAAAAAGATGGAAATAAACAGCGAAGTGATGATTGAAAATTGAATTCCAAAGAATCAATATATTTTGCCTAAAATTCTGGTAATAATAGGATACAGGCATCCATATCACTTATCTAACTCATTATTAGCAATGCAAAAAAATGATATATTAATGATGACAGTCAAAAGATAATAGGCAGTGACTCACAAAGATCTACATACCTGACATCAATAGCTTGAGGTGGTAAAATAACTGTCATTGCTCCACCATATAAGCTCTGCTCACTTTGACCATTGCTACTCATATTTGTCACTGGTGAATTAAACAATTTAATTAATTTATCTGCTTTATCTGAAAATATAACAATGCTAATTTTTTTCGTGAGCTAGTATACAAGGACAATGAAAGACAGGAGAGATTCTTAGCCAGAGTTCATACAGCACTTTGCCTCAAAAATTCAAAGACTTTTCAAGGACTATGGACTTTGAAATTCAAGGACTTTTCAAGGATATTAGTCTGACAGAATACACATGTACCTAACTTCTGAACTGTGAAATCAATAAAGATAGTTAATATTAGTCAATGGGGTTAATGATAAAAATATACACAATTTGACTTTATTCAAAATTCAAGGACTTTTCAAGAGAAAATGGGTTTTTTATGGTGTTTTCAAAGTCTTTTTTTGAAATCAAGGTTTTTCAAGGCAATGGACGGGATTCAAGGGTTTTTCAAGGCTGTGCGAACCCTGTTTGCCCTGAACATTTTTGGGTGTTTTATTACACAACTGGCACTAGTATCAGTCCCCTCACATAAACCATAAACTGATAAATAATTACACAGAAAAGTGGTCCACACATAATATGAGAGCGCAGCTCTCTCGACGACAAAGCCATCGAGAGCGAAGCTCTCTATAATGGTAACACATACATATACATCAATTCGTTTCAGAAAATTTATGTCCCACGGGTAGTCAAAAAAAATGAGAAAACAGATGGCGGATCAAACACAGAAAGGGATTTTTTGTACCAACTTAACAACCCTTATGTTGTGTTTTTATTTTTCCTGGATATGCTATGCGTCATAAGGAATAAAATGACAGCTTTGACATAATTTCCCAAGACTTTCTCCCAAGCAATGATGGTGTCATCGTTATAGATGATTACTTTCACACCTTAAAGAAGTTTCTCTAGATACTTTATAAAAGATTGTCTACAGAATTTCGTTTATTTGATTATCATCAATTATTGTTATTTTATCAATAACTTGCGCTCTCATTCAAGGCCATGCCTTCATTCATATTATCATAGTAATGAAAGCATTAAACTATCATAACGTATTAAGTCCATAACCATTGTTCATACAAACTACCGTACCGTAGGTAGCGTAGACCTTGTATTAATTTGTTACCGTGTTCATAAAATAATAATGCCCAATGGGCTTCACTTACTCGACTATGATTTTCGTTCAGCTGAAATCCTATTACCGGTATATGGGAATCTTTTGGTGAAAGATGCATATGTAATAATATTATTTCAGGTTTGAGCTGGTCGTATCAGGACAAAGACAAGTTTTCAGTTTAGTTACACAATACCTGTACTGGATTTAAATTTATTTATGGACGCAGACATATTGGAAATTTAATTTGATGGAATAATATCAAACGATCCGAATAAATTTTTTAATATACATCATATTAGATTTGTTATACCGAATAATTTGTATCATATTCTATTTAAGTTTCATTTCATCTTTTCGTGAATCAACTTAAAACAAAAAAGAAAAGCAAAGGCGAGCTCTTTAGGTTAAAATTAAACGAGTCGATTTGACTACAATGGATTTCAGGTCGAATAGGTAGCTTATATGGTCGAATAGGTATGTGGTCGTTTATATATCAAAACAAATATGGCCGCTTATTGCTGATAAATTATAGTTCAATTGTGTATGAAACTGAAATTAAATAAGAAAATATTCCACTAAACAATATCATATAAATTGTATGACAATTCTTGAATAAGTCATGGCTCCCGTACCCGAAGATGAATTGAAAAACGTGATTAACGACATAGATAGTATTGAAAATTTAGATTTTCCAGAGGTCATAATTCCCCCAGGTACATCCGACAGTGATGATATTGATGATGGTCCTGAAATAGGTGGATATGAATTGCTTCCTCAAGACCCAGTTGAGTTATCAAATGCCTACATACATGAAGACGAAGGAGAAATGTCCAACAGTGGACTGAGTTCGCATGATAATGCCAATTCGACTGAAGGGAACATTCTAATGTCTTGTTCAAGTGCTAACAGTAACTCAACTGGCAGAACATCATCACTTAGTCAACCTTGGAGAACAAGTGAACCAGTCGACTGTCACCAGCCCCATCTTACACATTATCCCAGTGGATCGGCTGGTTCATACCTTCAAGCTCCAGAGTTACCAAAACCTGATAAATCAGATATATTGTGGAACCAACCTGATCATTCCAACACAAACTCCATCAAAATGGACGAAAATCATGCTGCAGAAATAAAGGCAGCCATGGCAGGTTTTAAATTGCCTATGTCTAATGTTCCAGACTGGGCTAAAAATGTCTCTGACGAACAGTGGAAAGACACAATTATTCCCAAAATTTTATCCCCTGAAAAAAGATAAGAGCTGTCATGCACCAGACAAGACAGCACCTCACCTTTCTCTTATTGTGATGTGTGTGTTGATATTTTAGATATTTCAAGAGGCACAGCTATTAAAAAAATTTATTCTATTATGTACATATAAAAACAGATCTGAATGTTTTTGTTTTCGTGATATTTTTGCAGGTTACAACATGTGACCTTCTTGATCTTGACGAAATTTTTACCAGCAAATGTTGTCCTTATTTAAGCAAATCAGTCAAATATAGAAGCTTATAGTATTAAAAGTGGTTAGTCAGTATAGTCAATCACACAATACCTTCCATATAGTCAAGAAATATTGTCTTGAACAGGAAAATTTATTGACCAAGATCAGGAGATATATATCAACCTTTTCAGATCATAAACGATAAGTGGATCGACCTGCAGAAAAATAAATCACCTCAACAGAAACATCAAGATTTGCATTTTTGTCTGTTTTGGGGGAAACTACAAATTGTTATATTTTAATTTGATCTTGAAATTGGTCTTTATGAAACAGCATATAATTAATGCATGTGTATCTAATTCAAAAATATTTATTATTTTGACCTTTCTGATTTCAAATTTGTTTGATTATTCAATAATTCAATTTTTGATTCAGTCAAAAGTCTACTGATTTTATCACGATTTTGAAAAATCGCAAGAAAGACTGTTTGAGTTTTAATACAAGTTACTTCCCTTAGAATACGAAATACCTTCAGAAAATTTGTATTTCTTGCCTTGTGTCATAATTTTGATTATCACTCGATGGGCGCAATGCTTTGTAAGTATTGATCATATCCCAATCTGTTTATAATGAAAATTAATTTTGATGTATATCGTCATTGTAGGATACTGGAATATTCGTTGTTACAAATTGTTGCAAACTTTTGTTGCTGTTGGGTACAAATTTCAAAGTCTAACACGATTTTTAAAAAATTCCTCAGTTGACGGCAAGTGGATTTACCCGTAGAGAAACGGAACATCCAGCTCTGCATTATTTGATTGGGAGAATCCAAGCCCATGTGAACAATAATTTTGTACTATTTGAATATTATGTATTATTATAAATTACAGAAATATCGATAAATTTTAGTTTTGAAAATACATTTATTCGTACTCTGTAACTTTTATATTTCCATGTGTTCATTACTTTTTGCCTTTCATTAATAGTTTGCAGTTTGGATATATTTTCTCGCTTGCATTTTACTTTCAAACTTTGACCAGAGAAGGGCCAGTGGGCATTAAAATAATACCTATGTCAATATGGACATAACAGGAAGCTTAGATTAAAATGTTGAGCAGCATACTTTTGTAAGGTTTTTCTATCAGGTTTATTGTTTCTGTTTAAAGGAATTTTGTCTAGAAGCATAACATACCAACGGCAATACCATTGGCCACGAATTTCTCCTTGCAAAATATTTCTGTTATTCACATTTAAATTAGAACCTTGATGAGGTACTACATATGCTCACAATTCATTTACTAGCAAAGTATCTGGAACCAAGACATCACTGACTTCTGGACATGTTCTTATAACAGAAAACAATCCAAGATGGATGTTAATAATCATTTCCTCTCATTTTAACATCTTAGGTACAACCAGTAAGCAACAAATGCATTTGGTGATTCAGGCAGTAGATTGCACAAGATGTCCCCAGTATTCCGACCAAGATTCTTCACATGTTTAGAGAGTGGGACAGTTTGATCATATATCTCTTAAGAAGTTAGTGCTGTTCTCTTACCGTTTCCATCAATGAATACAAAGGCATCAGTATTTGGGTGTTGTTCTGCCTAATAGCTAATAGATGCGAACAAACAGCATAAACAAGCAAACATCTCTTTTTAACGAAATCATCTCCTGTTGTTTTTTTTTTACTTCATAGCTTAATGTAATCCATTTTTCTCCGAGGCATTGCCTTACCAAACACTTGCTACGGGCCTGGAAATGATGAGAGATTGAATACGACAAACGTTGAAAATACATAAGGACTTAGATAAACGACTTTGTTGGTATATTCAGACACAATGTAAGAGTGAAGATATCCCTGTTAAATGACAACAGTATTCTATTGCAGCAATGCTGGGCAGAAATTATTCTTGTCTCATCAGTCTGACTGACATAATATATTTCAAATGCATGTATAACAGGATAAATAGAAAATATTTGTTTATTACAAGACCGAAATATGAAATAAACAGAATGGATACAATAATAATCACTTTCATCAACAAAAATAAACCGAATTTCATATACACAAAAATAATATATTTCATTTATATCCAAAAAAAGATGAAAAAATTTCACAATACAGATTTTCATAACATTTGTAAACGTTTTAGACGACAATTATTGAAATGCGTTCGATATTAATCTTACTATTCATTGCACAAGATAGTTAGAATAACATCATAGAACCAGATTTTAATTTTTATTTTACAGTTTCTCATACGTTTTCCGGAACGTTTACATGCAGCTTAACCACAGTTCTTTTTCAAACAAGACGAAATGTGGACTTGGTTATACCAAAATGGTCACAGCAAGTCGCTGAGCAAAGAAAATTGTCGTGATAGAAAAAACCTAACATGTCAAATGACTTCTGGAAGCCAGAGAAAATTTGTAAATAGATTTTTCCTAGAAATGTTTTAGGGTAGCCTTAAGGTACCCTCACACCATAGCGATTACCAGTTGTGTATGGTTGCGAATACTAAAAGCGGTTTTGAGTACCGAACTCACAAATCAGGTACTTATGACCTTTGTTCTTATTCGCAACACAGGCAACTGGTGTGAGGTCCCCTTTACTGAGTTTATTATAATTTAAAAAAAAAAATTATGGAATTAATCATGACATTAGGCCTATTATTCACATAAGAGGGTGATGTCAATTTCGAACGATTATTTGAAAAGTAGTCTTGTTTATCAAGAAATGCGTGGTAACCGTAAGTTTACCTTGTAGAATACATAATTATGATAATGATAAGGAAATCATAAATGAGAACACAAAAAGAAAATGTCATGCTAAGGATGACAAAGCAACTTTGATATTACAATGAAGCGAATTAATATTATAGCAATGTAACAACAGTTAATGATGCTTATATACCTTTAAGAAAAATAAATTCAAAAACAAAACCTAAGTGTACTATTGAAAATAAAAATTTACTGTTTCAATCTTTTCTACATTCCTTATTGTGCAGTTTACATGCAGGTCTAAAATAGCCTGAAGATCGTTTTTCTATACACGAAATCGTCATACATACATAGTATATAATGAAATAAAGATTAAAGGAGCATAAAGATGAGATTTCAAGCGCTGTGCACTAACAGTTACATGGCTGCATCTGCTGCATCTTTCAGACATATACGTCGAGTAGGAACAGGTAGGGTAAACAGCTACAGAAATCTACACGTTGCACTTTTAATACTTAATAAAACATATTCCGCATTATAATATTAAAACTCGTTCATGAATAACATAGATGACGACTTTTGAAGTCGCATGATTAAATGATATATACAACTTTCACAATACCATGATAAGTGGCAAGTACTTTGTTTAAAAGGTATATCCAACTTGATATATTTCATAACTTCTGTTTGAATAAGAAAGACTTGTTCGCTGGTAATGGATAGAGATGTGTTTTAATAATAATTAAGTTCACATTTTGTAGAGGTGTATCCATGGAATTTAGCACTATTTGTATCTCGACACACCATAACACTGTGTTACTCGTTAGCGCCAATATCAGTATGATGTACACACTTTCTTAATACAAAGCAAGCAATGCCATTGTCGTTTTGTCGATGGTAAATTATCTGAAGCCAAGATTCCTTTACAGCTGTGTTTTCCATGGCAAGTTGAATTCTCTCAATAAAACCGCCAATTTCCCCAGCAAACACTGGCATGCCATCACACTTATCACCAACAAATACAGATTCGTTAATACCTTATTATGCCAAAACGATTTAACCGTTTCACATAATGTTTGTTTCCCAGAGGAATATCCATTCACAAAGAGTTTTTATCATAAAACATGTTTTGTAAAAAAGAAATGGCGAACAGTTCACAAATCATGTTGTACACTGAACAGGACAAGAAAATTGCCTATCATATCCTTGTAGTTGGGGGTCAACAACCGAATTGCTATCGTCTGAGAAAACTGGGGCACTTGGATGAGCTCGTTCTCTGTATAGATTACCAGCACTTTTAACATCAACGTCTGGTGGTGTACATGATTTCATTTCTAAAAGTTTGTCTGTTGTTTCGCCGCCCTCTGCCTTTCTATTTTTAGTATCTTTAGAAGGTGATTTAAGGCAGGGAAAGAAGATGTCTACTATGTCAGACATAAAGGAATTTTTCGCTCTATTACTAGGATTATTAGCATCTATACCTGCCTCTTCGTCAAATGTTATATCTGAAATCGAAATTAAATGAGAAATAAAATAAAATGAAAATACAATAACAATGTTAGAACGAATAATGAAGATGTCACCACTTAATGTTCCATTAAAATATCACAATCAAAATATACACAAGGTCAAAGGGTTTAGAAGAAGATAATGGTATCTAAAGGTTGAATTCTCTCATTTAACAGGGAAGTAATCATAAAATTTACTTTATTTCCTAAAAAACCAACGGTCGAAATCAGTTATCAGTTATGACTTGGACAAATATCTTACCTATGTCATCTCTTAATTTATTACAAATTTCATAAATAATGTCATCTCTTTTGCACTGTCCCAAACAATGAAATAGTTCTGTGACTGATTCTTGATTACAACCTTTCCACTCCCTCCATTCTCTCAAATAACCATTTACAGCATATTTTTCTTGACTCTCTACAAGAACAAATGACATCAATAACACTGACATCTTAATGCATTGAAAAGAAGAACTCGACAGTTCTAACCAGTTTAAACCTGATTTATTTTACAGCGATTGATACGTATCTGACACTTAACTTACTACTCTGAAACCAGTTTTACCAGTTTTCTGGAAAAAATTTGATATGGTTGTCGATTTGACCGTCGAAATCTACGACCATCAAGCTGATTATTAGGTATTGGCCAGTTTTGTTTCACAGATCCTATGGTCGCTAGAAGACTAACGCCAACTGATAATGATATAATTACCTTTGTATTTTTCAACTAAAATCTCATAACGTCCAGGTTGATAATGTGATCTAAACAATTCTTGAGGCAAAGTCCAGATTTGCCGATCAATTCTATCTTCAATAACTCGGAATGATGTAGAAATGGCTGTAATAAAAACAAAACAAATTTATATACTTCTCATGTGAAATGTTCATTAGCTGCTACCTATAGTTTCGCCAATGTGTTGTTTTGAATTTCGGGTTTCGTTTTACGTTTCGCACTGTTAGTACTTGGTTGAATAAGATGATGATTACACTGATAGCAACTCAAAGAGTGCTTCAAAATGCCGTTCTTGTCGGAGAACAGTAAAGAAAGGATTATGCTTACAATTAAAATATATTTAATCAAATTAAAAATCTTACTTTTTTTACAAAGTGCATCGTCCTTTTCACATTGTTCTAAAAGCCGAGCTTTTAACATTTCCAAATGTTCACTTGTAAGAGGTTTTTGACCTCTCCTTCTTTGCTTTCGTCGTCTCAATAAACAAAGGATTAAAACGACTACGATGGCAATGATAACAAAAACAGCAAAAGATGCTCCTAGAATCAGAGCTAAACTACCACTAACACCACTGTCTTCTGGACCTTTTACAACGCTACTACAATCATTGGTATCTGAAATAACAACGATGGTTGTAAGCCCATTTCAATATTTCGATTGTAGTTACTTGTATGTATTTAACTTATTGAAATAATAGAAACTGATTTGAACAGAAATGAATTTAAAAGTAAATGAGCGATGAATTTTTCGTTACCTGATTGGTCAAATAAAGATAACAAGGTCATGTTTTGTGTCATGGGGGTATATTGTCAGGACATGCCGTTTCTATGTCAGTCCATCAAACCAGTTTGAATATTCGAGGGAAGAATCGCATTAGAGAGATCATTTACATGCTGATTTATTTATATTATGAAACAATGAATAAATACCTTTAACAACAGGACCACAAACATTATCAAATGTACCGTTACTTTTCTTGACGACACATCTATTATTTTTCTCACAACTATAAATGAAGCATTGGTTAATATTATTTCAGTGTATTCCTGGACTGAACACACACATTTTAATGAAAAGAAATGATAGTCACTTCAGCTTTTCAGAAGTCCAACGATTGGCCTATGTCAATCAATTATTCAGGTCATCTCATCGTGTCCGTTGAAGTTGAAGCGGACACGAGCAAAACTTTCATATTGAGAAATTGACCGACACTAAGATCAACTGGAATGTTTCAAATTCTGACCAATTTGGTCGACCATACGAAAGTAGAACTACATGAGCTACTGATGGCAACTGCGATTATTCAGTCGTCAGTGAGCTGAGGACGACGAAGGCGATTGGTTAGATTCTCCTAATTGACGACTTTAAATGCCCACAGACGTTAAAACTCAAGATGCTCAGATTCTTTCATTAACAATTTCGTTCTGAAGCAAACTTCAGGTTTTGATTTTCGTAACATAATGAACCACAGAGCGGTGTATATGAAAATCCCCAAATTGTTCAGCAATAAATTTAACATTTCAATAAAAATATATTTACTTACTTAGTTAAAGGTTTGCATCTCTGTACTCTACCCTCTGTATCAGAATACATCTGTTTAGTTAAACAGAATTCGCAAACACCTGAAACACAGAAAATACTAGTTTAATATTTCTCATCCAGCATTTATTTACTAAATGAAGCTACAAAACATCCACCATCTATATCTATAACAATTGAGGTTTGACCACACATCACAAACGCTAGCGGGTTTCATTTCCTACGTTTATACAATTCCTCGAAATCAAAATCGAACCCTTGCCATAGGTGGGCAAAAAAAAATTTCCATGCCACATATATAATCATGTGGTCAAACCTCTTAACATCTAAAAGCTGGCAATTACACTTACAGAATACAAAACCACAGTACTCTAATTCTATTATTAATCCTACATTTAAAAATTCAAAACAATGGTGTGAACTAATCAGTTTAGATAAATTGAGATTAGACTTTTGGCAGAATTGTAATAGAAATCAGTCATTTTTAAAATAGCATTTGCTAAATAAGGGATTCCATTTTAATGTTTCAATAATAGACGTTATACATTTATGATAATAAATTAATACCATCACCATGACATACATAATTATACAATTACATATACATATTACTACAACAATCACAATATATAACACTCTCAAAACTATCGTTTTCATACAAAAACAAATTTTCGGATCTGATCAGCCCGACATAGCGACGAAGATATATTTTAATGTCACTTATTGACAATAAAAATGTCTATATCTTTGACAGTGTTCGAAAAAGAAGAGAGTATGACAAATTATGCATATGTTGGTGCTTAAATACGGGCATACTTCGCATACAAAAGATAAAGATCTATATACATAACATAAATAACCATAGCAAATATTAATCACGTTTGTAGACATCATCAGCAAATCAGTTGACAGTTTCAGATAGCTTTGAAGATGTGTTTCCTGTTTCATTGGTTCTTGCTACATCTTGCATATTCTTTCAAAAAGAAACTGCAGAGGTAGGTGATTGTAAAATTACATGGTCGTTAAGTGAAGCAATAGGTTCTTGATCCATGCAAATGACGGACTACTGAGTGGGCTCGTCATATTATGGGAATAGAATATTGTTTGGATGGATGTTAAAATGTGTCCTTCCACATAAGGTTAGAAAGAAAGTTTGTTACTGGATTTGTTCGAGATGAAAATGACCTAAAATATGATAATTACCACTATCTCCTTTACGGTATCCTGTAAGAAAATTATACCACTACTTTCACCATGCTCTATGTTTTACGAGTAAGGGCATATATAGATAATCTATATACTCAAAGTAATGTTAACACGTTATGTCCATCAAGACAGTTTTCAGTACTTTTTGCGTCCTAGGAATGTTTTGTGATATTCCACGTCTTCTTGATTAGACAAGTAATGTTTTCATATTTTTGCAACAGTACTGTTCGTACCTACACATCAATGTTAAACTACAGTAAATGATGTTAAAATAAGTAGTTATCTTCCTAGAATTAAAGTCTACTCCAAATCAAGTCTATGAAATTTACAACTAACGCAACATGCCTTTCATGAGTAAACTATTTCGTTATTTATCCTACTAAAGAAACACTTTTCTGATTGGCTGACTTAATCAAGTACACACTGACTTACTAAAATGCATACAGATTTACTGTAATGGATATTGACTTATTAACTGCACAACAATGACCAAACTGAGTTGACTTTTACGATACCGGTACTGTAGTAAATTCGTCCAAGTTGAATACCCCTTTCCGTTTCCTCTTGAGTGATTATATTTGCTATCTTCTACCTACGTTAATTTAATTCATAATTCACGAAGTTGTATTTTGATCGGATGCATGTTAAAGTAAACTACCGTTGTGTGTTATATAACGTATTAGAAATACATGTACATTTATAAAAGGTACAAGCATTATCATGCAGTGTCAATCAGCAAAGTGTTTCTTAAAGCATGGTGAAAATATATCTATTAGCAATGAAATTCAGCCATATTAAAAATATAACTTTACACACAATATTAAAAAGAACTATTTATAAAACGAGTTATTAGAACTTTTTGAACCAAAATAGCATAACATTTGAAAGTCGAAAGTCGAATGGCAGTAGTATATTTTTTGACGTAACTGAACCAAAAGGATATAGCGCTTTTGGAACTTTTGATCTCTTTGAAAATAAGACAAACAAGTAGTAGGTGGTTCCTAAAAATCGCATTCCAAAAATCAAAGAACATATAAATTCATATATAAAAAATAGTTATTGGCCAAAATATGCATATACCCTTTTGGTTCAAAATGTTCGAAAATAGTGTTAAAATACCAACCGTAAGTTCCTTGGCCATAACCCTTCCCACAAACCCTGTTTGGTACGCATGCTCTCTGATCTTCGTTTTCAAAATGGTAGCCATCCGTACATTTACAATGGGCATCAGCAACTGTACTGCCATAATCAGCAAAATCTTGGTATGGCCCACTGCAAGATTTCCTGCAAAAAAGAAGGCCTTCTTTTTGAAGCATTTGATTCGAAGTGCTGGTAAAATAAAGGAGGTGATTCTCTGGCATATTTGAATGACCGCTAATGTCCAGATGCCCTTTAAAATGAAACCAACAAGTATCACTTTTAAATCTACAGGTTTTTACATTTCATGTGGTCCTCCGGGGTCATCTGGTGATGCAATGTTTATAATCTAATGACTAACTAAAAATTCTAATGTAAAAAGTCTCAAAAATAAAATTTTATTATTGCTCGGGTTCCACTTTCTTATAAAATATTCAACCAATTCCCAAAATAGTGGCTAAAACCATAAAAGTCGTGAATGATATGAGTCGACAAGGAATAGAAATTGATTTTAGATCATTTCAGAAGACTGGTTAATCGTGTGAAATGACATTTATAATTTATCTTGATATGACTTTTCACTCAAGTTTAACACTGGAAGATCGAGCAGTTTTTTCCACTTCTCAAATTCTTTTTGCGATATACATTTTCTGTTATTTATATTTATTAATGTAATAATATGACGAATTACATTTAGACATCATCTGGGCATTGAAGATTAATATCGACTTCTGAATTACATCATGGAAGGATCTAAATCTTAAAAATAAGGCACCGTCTAAAATCTCCCGTGGTGATCTCAAGTAATTTGATTATGTACTGTTACTACTGTAACAGACTAATGTTGAGATTGGTGGTTGCGGTCTGTACAATTTGTCATTACTGGACTCTTGTTTTCGGCATTGAATCGAATAATATCAAGTACATTTCTTTTTTTATGAATGACTTTGGCTTAATTACCCACACGAATGTATCAAAATTCTTCAACCCCTGAAGTGTTTTGATATAAAAAAAAAACATGGACGGTCAGCTTCGATATCATCTAATTATCAGTTTTTATTTCTTGTATTAGAGTAGAAATTATCTTTATAAAGTATGTAAACAGGTGTAGGTAGATAGGATAGCTGGAGCCATGCCAACTATAATACTCAAATTTTGCCTTGATTAAACCTATCTCTATCAAATTAATCTCCGAGATGAGATGATTTCTGTTCAGCGCCTTGACATCTCATCGTTTGTACTCTGTGTTAAAATAAACCAGGCTTTGGCCAGTTCGTTCTTATCAACATCGTTTCAATATGGCGTATTTATGTTGAAATCTAAGCGAGGAGTCCGATTCGAAACTTTGTGTCCTAGAGTACAAAAAATAGTACTCGAAGTAAATATTCTTCTCTTCAAAAATCCAGTGTAACCTTACAATCAATTTCTTTTTCAAAGTTTCCGTATAATTCTAGAATGTACACAGCGGATATTCTATGTTAATCGTACAATAATTTGACATTGCCTGTCCTATGTCTTTACTAATGAAGATAGACTACTAGCTTTGGTCTCCTCAGTGATATCAGTAGTTCAATGATAGAGGTTGATTGAAAGGGAGGAAATGAAATTGAAAGCTGATTGATAAGATGAAATATATCTTTACGATAGAACCTTAATGAGGTGGCGCGGTAATTTGATTAGAAAGCTTGGTATTTCAACTTGATCTAGAATTAATGGGTAGCATTTGGGATGCACTGTCAGTTCCGATAATATCTTATGATACTCGGGGTACAACACAGTAACGTAAACAGGATCTAAATAGCCTTGAAAGTAAGCAAAGATCTCCAGCAAACAAAAACCTTCAAATTAAATGCAGTGATATTTCAATGTGAGCAACCAGATAATTTTACCCAGCAACTGACTTTGAAAAATGGTACCCACCTTAAACGACATTTATCACCCAATCTGTTGCTGTTAGGTTGAAAGGAACTATCCCCGCATTGTTTACACTCATATCCCTCTTCTCCGTCTAAACATTTGATCATTTCGTGTCCTGAATATACAAATGAGAAATATTGTTAAAAACAAAATGCGTCATAGCATTTTAAGCGGTATCACACAATTCTTTTATATCATTTTTCATTACAGATGAATAATAAAAAGCCAACACCATGCACTGTCTTTAAGTGCGGAACTGTAAGGTAGGTATTTAACATGAGACAATTGTTCATGACATACATAGCACAAGAAATTGTTTTTAAAATTCCGAAGTTACATGATGAAAAAGTTATGTACTGTATGTGTTAAGGATGTAAATTATAAATGGTATATATAATTCTGTCTGATGTGTGGTAGGTATGTTATGTTCTAGTTGTACAATATAAAAAATTTGACTACAATTCGATGGAACATGAGGTTGTAACTACAAAAAGAGGGTGACTAAGGTGAGATATTCCACTTAAAAAATTTGAACACAAAAAGATTTTCTAGCCATGTTCAAATCCATATAATATACAAAATTACAAAGACCTTCGTCTTTACTTTCAAGGTATATTGTAGTCTTATTTTTCCTCTTTAATAGCCTAAGAGTAACTATTCAACAAAACATTTCAAAATGTAAATTAAAATAAGGCGTATCATATTAATAACCAATAAGTCCCTTCAAAGCATATTACGATAAACACAATGAGTAGGCGATTGAGAATCCAGTCGCCTAGCCTAAATCCATAGTGGGTAACCGTTGGATGGAATTGGACTAAGTGGTGTATGTGTACTGTATTTCCCATTCCATTGAACTTGAACACTGTATCCCTTCATTACTTGAAGGAATACCAAGAAGTTGGCACATACCTACAACTATGTTTAAGACATTGATTTCCAGAAGATAAGAATATGTATAAATGCCGGTATAAATTGGTTGGTATTTCATTGTGTTATGTTATAGCTTTGATATTAAATCCAGATAATATTGGGTTACCTAATTGTGTACTATTTACCACGTTACTGGTACTGAGTATACTATAAAATGAGGATAACCACGAATGTAACGCACTCTTATAGGTAGAAATAGTACTAATTCTATAATTTCTCATAATTCGATATTTAGGAATTCTTTGAGCCACTTTGGTCACCTGCAAGTCCGAATCACAACATAATTACAGGATTGTTCCAAAATAACTAACTCTGATATTAAGGAACATCATTCCTTTAAAAGCTCTCAAGAATGCTTGAATTGCGCATTTTCTTGGGTATAATTGAATAGGTGATGTAAAAGATTTGATTATATAGAATTACTGCCTATTGATAATTTAGATTTATTGAAATGATTTCAACATTGATAATGATATCAGTTATCATAGAATTATCAGGCTCTCATGTGGAATAAACATTATATAATATATTTACTTCTTACAATCTGATAATGGTGCTCAGAAAAAATGATACAGACGTCAAGTAAATCATTTAAATAGATGGAAACGATATGACGAAAACATCCACTATATTTAACTATAGACAGAACAAGAATCAATTTTAACTATTATGAATTTTAAATTTGTTAAGATATTCAAGTGCTCTTGATATAATGAAATGTACTAAAAGACTGCTTATTTTCATCTTACTAATAACTTAATTAAGTCAATACTTATTGAAATAATTTATTAACGTGGCGGAATTTTATTAATCTTGTGCCAAAATGCAATTATCTGTAAGTTTCCCCAACACTAAAGTGTCCTTAATCAACACTAATTTTCCATAATACCTAAATGTGTAAATCTAGTGAACACTCTCTACACGCCCACATGAAATGGCGTCACCCATGTGCGTCCGTTGGCCCGTCCACAGCTGCTCGTAAGGAACAATTCTTGGCAGATTTTGACAAAACTTGGTGTTAGGGTGTATTGAGAGGGTCTCAATGAAAGCACTGGCCTAGTCACAGAGCGAAAGATAAGTCTATTAATTATGTGAAAATTAGTACTATATCATTAGTATGATTTTAGTTGAAAAGACATGTAAGGGTGTATTGAACCGTGTCACAGCGAAAGCACTGCCCTAGGTCACAGAACAATAGATAAACTTGGCGTGAGTGTTCGTAACCACTCAAGGATGAACCCTATTGAAAATCAGGAAAATCACACAAATCGAAAAATATTTAGTATGAGTTATTACCCTTGTTCTTGAAAAATTCAATTTTTAGCTCATAAACACTCTTGAAAGCAAAATTCTTGGCGGATCTTGACGAAACTTGATGTGCATGCTTGTAATCAGCGGAGGATGAAAATCAGAAAGATCGAAATATACTTAGTATGTCTGACTTATTGCCCTTGTTCTAGATGACACGTTCAAGTTTTTATTTCGTAAACACGTTCGAAGGCACAATTCTTAACAGAATTTGACAAAACTTGGATGAACCCTATAGAAACTTAGAAAAATCGAAAATTATACAATAGGAGTTATTAAACAGAGTTTGAGAAACATGGTGGACATTTTTATTATCAACCATGGATGAACGCCAATGGGCGTATATTATCTTTCCAAACTAGCTAACTATCTTTATCTGCCTTATTATTTCGATTTCCTTCATTAAATAATTAGCATTTTTGTTTTGTCCTTAACGTGTAATGCTGTTCAATAACAAACCTGAAAAACATGAATTGTTTTAGTAAGGGATGATGAATGAGTGCTTCCAAAACAATTTTCCCTTTTTAGCCCAAATCCAGAATTGGCAAAATACAATCCTTCACTTTTTATTCGATAAAATGCGAAGAAAGTCTAATGCACAAATTTAGCCAAATCTATGGTACGTGATGTGCATAACATGCATGACTTTCGGTTCAAAGTACAGCTAAATCAATAAACATGCATATCAATATGTTCAAGTAGTAATAAAGGAAAATAAGGGAGGGAAGTAACTGATAATTTTATCAATAACTGACATATTTCAAGTGTCAAATCAATGTCTTTCCTGTATCTCTCTCAGTATCTTCTGATAATCTGACTTCAATCTAATTACTTAATACATAATACTAGTCTTTTAACATGATCACCTCGGCCACTGGATTACCCACCCAGGCTTATAAATAATTTCAACTGCGTGTCATTCGCGTCATTCGCGTCATAACGTGGAAATGTCCCACATTTAATATTCCAAAAAGAAGGTTTGTTTTAATATTTTTTTAAATCTCATAAGTATTTTGGATTTGATAATTCAATTCGTACCAAATGATGTGGCAAAATGCAATTCTGTAAACAATGTGGTAGAACAGAAGATTCTAGCCCTTTCGGTGTGTATCTTTGACGATCGATTCATAGCAAGATTACGACAGTCGCGGAGCAATATAAATATGATAATTATTATAAAAATAATTTAGAACGTCGATAGCAGAACTGGCTATATAACGCAACGATCTTTATTGAATTCATCTTAAGACATATAATCAATTCCCGTCTTTCCTGTCGTAATTTCTACACTGAAGATAGAGTTTTAACCCTTATATAGAACTGTGACATAAACTTTCCTATATATATGCCAGAATTCATTAGGTTAGACTCGAGCAGACTTACAGAGCTTAATTTAACAAAGTAGAAAAATACATTAAAACTGTGTAACCTATTAAAGAAGTACAATTTGTCACTTTTCTTCTGTTGTCTTTCAGGATGTCATTAGTCAGTATTGGAAGCTTGAAAATGATTGGCCATTTACCTACGTCGACCGGATCAGTAACTTTGATTTACAATGTATTTAGCCAACGCCTTGTAAGAATCATACGTGTAAAAACACAGTGCATTAGTGTAGAAACTTATTTTAATGAGTTGAAATATGCATGTTAGAGTTTTTGATTCAAAATATTTTAACATCACACGGTGTAATATGAGAGTAATGATAAGTACATGTTCTTATCATTGTTTTCACAATATAAAAAGATTGCATTTTTCATCAAAATAATTACACCTTTGGAATAGAAGACTCTTCTTATGTTTGACAGATAAGGCGTTAAATTTCATAAAAGAACAGCAGAGTGTATCCTAGTCTTCATTATTTTTCTTCAGCGAGATGAGAAATTTTGAAATGTGTACAATTAAGATTTAAAATAGATCATCTCAAATTTTTATGTTAATTTTTGTAACCGTATGTCAAACGAAATTTAATCCACGTAACTAAGTTATTACAGACATATAAAGATAGTCGATACGCCTATAATAACTATATATATATATATACTATAGAGAAAAACACATTCCGTAGGCATACAATGCTACTACAGTAGCAGTAAATTGCAAATTTAAAGAAAATCTGATTAAAAACGATTAAGATGCTCATTTCGAAAATTTATTCTGGAAGTTACTAAATTCTCCACGATCCAGAGAAATGTTTCCTTAAAATATCACAGAATAACCCAAGTTATGTAGTCAGTAAGATTTATCGTAAGTTTTGTTGGATATTTTTAAAGAACGCATGTTCTTTCTTCAGATCGTGAAGGCAGGAGGAGTAAAATATGAAATTCAGTCTTAACTAGCATATTCAATGTGTTTAAGGACATCCTTAGAGAAAAACATGAAACGAAACATAAAAATCTGAATTTTAACCAAATTAGTAAAGGGAGTGCTATTCATTAATATTTGTAACATCTTACAGCGCAGTTATGTGCAAATGATAAACCTTATAATAGATCATATTTGTACCAGTGGCAGATTTGCCTATTTGCATGATTATTTTGATCATGGCACAAGGCGTTTGTTGACATTTACCAATATTGCGAAGTATACGAAACATACGTGGTAAACGTTACATGTTTAGTCCCTTCCTTACGTATAGAATCTTTGTAAAGATCTGAGAGATGTATCACATTCTTTATTTCCAAAACTCTTTTCGTGAACGGTCTTAGAGTGAAAAAAATTACATCTGACGGGTTCCCATCGTAGATAAAATAATCTCTTTCAACTGTCTCACACTTTCAACCTTAGATGCATTAGTTTGCTTCTTATTGGATTTATTGATTGCTGGTATAGGTCGGTATACCGTTCACTAGGTTCCAACTATTGCACGCTCTAATCAATGTGATATCTCCATTAAGGTTCAAGTATCGGAATCAACACATCTGCAACTATTCTCAAGACGGTAACAGACTCTTACAACAGGACATCAGTATTCAAAATATAGATAAAGGTTCGCCATGAATTGCTGACATTTTGATCATCACCTAAAATCTTATATTAATTATTTGCACATTTTCACAAAGAAAAGAACACACGGACCCCTTTCCCATTAAATTAAAGATGTTTTCAATATACAGTTGTACTTCAATACCACAATAATGTCTTAATTCTTGGTATACTATGATATAGACTACGCGGATGGGTCAAAAAATTCTTAAATGTTTTAAAGCTACTAATGGTACAAAGTAAGTATATGACCTAAGGTAGACCTTCTTCACTCAACATTTCCGTGTCAATATTGATATCTAATATTTAAAGTAAATCTAAGATGAAAGAGAAGAAAATTCCATCCTCCTGAAAGTATCAGCTTAAATCAACACGAGAAAGACCAGACACATCAATACTGTTAAAATTATCTCCCTTTCCTCTCCATTACCTTCTATAATTGGGACACTCTTAGAACGGAAAAATTAAGTGGTGCTAGTGATAGGGAGACGAAAAGAACTGCCATGATTAGGATGTTTAATGGCCTGTCTACATTATATTTAATCTGAAAGATGATCACCCAATCTAAAACTCTTAATTCAATAGCTTACAGATGAAGGAACATCAAAACCTATTCTGAAGTCATTTGAGAAACAAAAATCACTTTATAGATCATATTTTCTACCAAGTACTCTATTCTGAAATACATTACAACATTTAAAAAATAAGAATTTTGATAAGTGAATCATGCATCGTGTAATTTGATGATATAGGCTACCTCCTCATATG